GTCGAGTCAGATGTGCATTGTGGGTTGTCACCAAAGAGCACAGTGTATTTTTGGCTGTATAGATTCATCTGGAGGTAGGATAGGGTACAGTTACAGACTGTTGACATCTAGCTTGACATCATAATAGTAGAACAGCTCTTTTTGGTGCCATATATCCTTTTCAAAAAGATTCTATATAGAACCATATACAACAGATTCGCCATCAATCTGAAGAACACCTTTCCAACGCAAAGAACCCTTTAATTTTGCAATTTTAGCTAGCTAAAGTTAGCTGTACTCTTAAAAAACAGGGTTCTTCAAGGGTTCTTTAGCAAAGACATTGGTTCTATATGGTTCTATATTCTATGAACACTAAAAGAACCATTTGTATGCTTAATATCACAGTACATCATGTCCAGGCAATACAGCCTTGTATGGATGAGACAAAGGGTGTGTCTCGAAAACCTAGTGAGCTCTCTACATAGACAGCATTTTACGTCACAGTATGCGCTCCCGACAAGAAGGCTGTCCCAATTCTGATATCTCAAATATACTGCATACTGAGGTACCTCATTTTGGCCCAATATCGAGAGAGCATCTGATGTTTCCTCAGCTGCTGAGGCAATCCCGCGATGCAGCGCGGCGCAACTTTTGTTTGAAGATGGCGGGCAGAAGTCATCTTCAAATGTAAATTATTCTGATTTTCTGGGGTATTTATCTGTTTTCTAGTCATAAAGGTGCACAAATAGCCTATACTTTCCGCGTTTGATCACAATTGTCTATTTTGCTGTTTCATTCAGAGCAAATACAGTTAAAATCGCTAATCGCTAAAATCGAGCAGGATCCATGTTGGCTAAATGTGATTCTGACGGCTGAGGTAAGTAAACGCCGGTCTCGTGCAGTGGGCGGGAACAAGCGGCGACATCACTGCTGTCTAACTAGAGCGTCTCATTTATCTGTCTTATAAGGATTGATGACGGTTGGAACGCTGCCTACTTAGACAGCTGCCTATGTAGACAGCGGCTACTTAGAGAGCTCACTAGGTTTTGAGACACACCCACTGAGATTATATGTGTATCTTTGCATATCAAAGCACCATAGCAACATGTTACTAAAGGAGAAATGTTAAAGCAGGAACGTTTAGCTTAATTGATCATACTGTGAATCGTGAAAGGGCTGCCGTTGTAGTGTATCAAGACAGTTTTGACTCCTGATGTCTCCTCCGTGTGCCTTATTAAGGCTTCTGTTTTGTAACACGCTTACTATACTGCAACTTGCAATTCCCAGACTGATTATACATTTGCCGAGCATCGTTCTTTTGGATAATTTGCATCTGTGTGAAATCATGTTATTATGTTATCAGCAACATCTCACCAATTTTTCTCTCCTTGATTCGAGTGCCTCTGTTAATCTCACTCATCACCTCGTATTATTTGCATTGTAATTTCACCACAGCTTGCAGCCCAGAGGAGGACAGGTTCCCCCTGAGAGTTACTCTGTCTCAGTTTGAGCGCTATGCACAATATACACTATGTACTTTATTATCTAGGACCTGGATTTTTGTAGGATAGCACTGCCAAAAATCACGCACAGAGACATCAAACAGTAGCTTACGTCCCTGAATTATGTCTACACACTTTAAAAAATGGTTCATCAAGGGTTCCTTAGTAAAGAAAATGGTTCTACACAGAACCATGACCATTTAAGGAACACTTTTCATGTTTAAAGGGTTCTTTGCATCATTCAAGTGTTCCTCAGATTAATGAAGAATGTGCTTTAGATTTTTCCTTATAGAACCTGTTTTTGAAAAGGGTTCTATATAACACCAAAAAGGTTCCTTCTATTGTTACAAGTTTGACATCATGATAGTAGAAGAACTCTTTTGGTGGTAAATAGCACCCTTTTCAAAAAAGGTTCTAAATAGAACCATGTACAACAGATTTTATAGCAATCTGAAGAACCATTTCACAATGCAAAGAATCCTTTAATCTTGCAAAAGGTTCTTTGAGTGTTCATGACTCTATACAGCACAATTTTCTTTACTAAAAAACCCTTGAAGAACCTTCTTATTTAAGAGTGCAGGGCAGCAGTTAGCTACTGTTAGGTAGCTAAAGATAGCTACCCTCTAAAAACATGGTTCCTCAAGGGTTCTTTAGTAAAGAAAGGTTCTATATAACCATGTTCTATGTTACATTTGCATGGTTAAATGGTTCTCTGCATGGTAATATGTGTTATATATGGTTCTATACAGAACCTTTTTTAAACAGTGGAAGCATACACAGCTCATTCTCCTTGGTTCTGAAGAACCATTTCACCATGCGATGAACCACTTAAGCATGAAATGGTTCTTTGTAGAACTCATGGTTCTACATAGAACCTTTCCCTTCACTATCACTCTTAACAATTATGGTTCTTCAAGGGTTTTTTAGGTAAAGAAAACAGAACCATAAACACCCAAAGAACTGCTTGCATGATTAAAGCGTTCTTTGAATTGTTGAATGGTTCTTCAGATTGATGGAGAATGTGCTGTAGATGGTTCTAAACAGAACTTTTTTGAAAAGGGCTTCTATATAGCACCAAAAAGCGTTCCTCTGTTGTTACAATGTCAAGCCAAGGGTTCTTCTATTGTTCCAGGCTTGACATCATAACAATAGAGGAACGCTTTTTGGTGCTATATAGAACGCTTTGTAAAAAGGTTCTGTATAGAACTGTATAAAACACATTCACCAATCTGAAGAACCATTCTAGCTACTGCAATGCTGTAAATTAGTTTATCACTGAAGTACGTTGAGTCTGAAGTTTGATTTACAAGCAAAACACAGAGCTGGTGCTGGCAATATCAGTAAAATCAGTAGTGTTAGCACTGCTTTTGGGACACTACGCTGGACAGTGCCCACAGGGGAACTGGGTCAATCAATGACCAGACCAATTAACTAGCGAAAGGCAAAGGCAAAGCAGGAAGCTCCGACTTGAGACACTTTCATATATGGTACTTAAATCTGATACGTATCTGATCTGTGGCAATGCGACTCAGTCTGAACAGGCAGATCGGAATTCATGCAGGTTTTACCTCAATCCAGCTCAACATTCATCATAATTTCATGCTGCTGAGACTCATAAACATTTAGACCATAGGAGAATGAGGCTACAGCATCAAAGATCAGTTAAAAGTCTGGAAGCAAAGTTTAAAGAATCTGAGGACATGAACCAAAGGAGTGACCGTGGCTTTTTGTGGTGAGCTTGAACACATTCTGGGTGATGAGCCCAACTGTCAGTCAGTGAAGCTTCATGATCGCTCTTGTGACCCTGGAGATGATGAAGCTGACATTTGTTGGCAATTATGATTGTTTACCTCTGGCTGAGCCACGTGAAACACATGAAGCTTTGTTCTGTTGCGCATGCAGGTCAGTTTAGGAGCTGATCTGTTCAGAAGAATGTCACATATAGACCACATTTAAAAGATATTGTGAACAGCTAAATAAAAAAAAGTCAGATTTGGTGAGAAAAATCTTATCAAAAGTTTTGGGCCAATTTTACCTGCTGTGTGAACGTAGCCTTAATGTTTTTTTAGGCTCACATTTGCACCAATAAGACAAATGTGATTAATCACAATGAACTACAACAAGATTATGTGATTAATTTGAATTTTTTGGTGGCATTAGTTCTAAGACATCTGGGTATAAAAGAACTTACCCCCTTTGATTTCTCGAAAGCTTCTCTTTTTCCTCAAGAAAGAAAACGGTTGTTTAAAAATGCTCTTTTGTGTTCCCTCACGTTCTCCTTGTCTTATACTACATTTCATGTGAGGATCTGGACCCATTCAGATTGGCATACATGCCAAAATAGACAAAACTGGGGGGGTGAATACTTTTTCACAGCACTGTTAAAGTGGCTAAGACACTACTCAAGTACCCAAAAGGTTGGTTGCTCTTAGCTGGTTCCTTAGGGAGTTGTCCCTCAGCTTGTTCATTAGGGGTCTGGATCCACATTTGTGTTAAACTGCTTTTGAACAATGCTTTGAACATTAAATGGAAAAGAACTGAACTGAATTTTAATTGAACTGAACTTACAGAACGTACAGTGTATGTTCTGTGGTGAACAATGCACCCACAGCATTACATTAAAACGGCTTTATGGTCCCTTTGACGTAAGAAGCTAATTAAGTTTATTAGATTTGCGCCTCTCTAAAGCACATGAGGCGAAGCTATAGCACTATATGTCATCCTTATCAAACGATATTCAAGTGCTGGAGGTAACACTTCTTTATAAAGCCATCCATATTAAACAGCAGTCATGTTTTATATTAGGATTTTATATTAGAAACGGTTGCTTGGAGCCATGGTGGAGCAGGTCAAAGTGCAGCCTGTCTCTATGTGCCTACAGCAACACGACATTACCCTGAGCTCCAGTATACTGCATTTCCTAACCCAGCTTTCACCCAGCACTGCCTTTTTGCACTCTATCACCCAAACTCTGCTCCCACGCACTGAGCTGCACTAGGCAGTCATAACTTATTTGCACAATATGTAGCAGAACAAGCTAGGCACACATTTCTACAACTATTTGTACATCGACAAGACAGCTGATATGAAGGAATATGAGTAAATGCCCAAATACACTGAATATGTTTACCTGTATTTGGAATAACTCAATGTGTAACAGTCACTGGCCACTTTATTGGAAACAACAGCCATTCAGTGCCTTACACGTCCAGTATATAAACGTCCAGAATGTAGCCCACCTTTTGTTATCTGGCCTCAACCCCATTCATCAATGAGACCACTGACCAGATGTTATATGGCTGAGAATAGTCCACCACCAAAAGTATCCAGCAGCTCTGTGGTCAAAAACTGAACATTGGTGAATGGCTAGAGGATGGCTAACATACATTGCGTGTCTAGATAGGGCTACAGTCTCAAACCAGCACTTCATTAGAAGAAGATGTTTTTAATAGTGGCCAGTGAGTGAAAGCAGTCAGTCTAGTTCGACCTCTAACCTCAGACTCTTTTGTACCTTTGCAGCCCATGTTCTCCGTCACGCCTAGCCTGGCTACCAACGCCACGGCAGCGGCCGCAGCAGCGTTTAACCCGTATCTGGGCCCAGTGTCTCCAGGCCTGGTGCCCACCGAGATCCTCCCCAGCGCCCCTGTACTAGTGACCAGCAGTCCCAACGCCCCTGTGCCCGCTGCAGCTGCCGCCGCAGCCCAGAAGCTGATGAGGACAGACCGACTGGAGGTACGTTCAGATGCTCCCTGCTGTTCTTAATCTCAGGAACAGGACAGCATAGTACAGTTTTCTTGCTTGCTCTTTTCTAGTTCGAGAGGTTTCCTGAGGACTCAGATCAGGTTTGGTAGACAGTATTGTGGAATGTTACTCTAAAAATATCTTGTGATGTTGCAACATAACCACAGTTGCTGAGTCGTGTTATTACAGCATTATCTACTGAGAAAAGAAACCCATTAGAATACTTTTGAGTTATTGCTTACTGGAGAACCAGCACATTTACTTTCTCAAGTCCTTTGGATCCTGAGTTCTATTACATTTCATATGAGGATCTGAACCCATTTGGATTGGCAGATATGCCAAAATAGACAAAACTGGGGGCGAATACTTTTTCACAGCACTGTTACAGTGGCTAAGACACTACTCAAGTACCCAAAAGGTTGGTTGCTCTTAGCTGGTTCCTTAGGGAGTTGCCCTCAGCTTGTTCATTAGGGGTCTGGATCCACATTTGTGTTAAACTGCTTTTGAACAATGCTTTGGACATTGAATGGAATGGAAAAGAAACGAACGGAACTGAATTTAGTTGAACTAAACTGAACGTACAGTGTATGTTCTGTGGCGAACAATGCACCCACAGCATTACATTAAAGCGGCTTTATGGTCCCTTTGACGTAAGAAGCTAATTAAGTTAATTAGATATGCGCCCCTCTAAAGCACATGAGGCAAAGCTATATCACTGTATGTCATCCTTATCAAATGATATTCAAGTGCTGGAGGTACCACTTCTTTATAAAGGCATCCATACTCTAAAAAATATCTTGTGATGTTGCAACATAACCACAGTTGCTGACGTAAGTCGTGTCATTACAGCATTATCTTCTAGGAAAGAAACCCATTAGAATACTTTTGAGTTATTGCTTACTGGAGAAGCAGCACTTTTACTTTCTCAAGTTCTTTGGTTCCTGAGTGGCACAGTCATCTAAGCATTGGCCCTATTGTAAGGACACTGCAGTGATTGGAAGTGATGCCACGGCCATCCGTTGCTAAGAGTCCAAAAGAGCATTACTGTCCTCGCTCTCTCTGGGTGGGAGAATGGTCCTCCCTCTCCCCCATCAGTCAGTGCTATAGTAGCCAACATGGTGGTCTGTTGCTGGCGTAAAAGAATTAGTGTTCTCCTCCAAGCTTGTTGAGCTGGTTGATGACATTGCATTAGCTGTAGTTGAAAAAATTAAGTAGTGGTACTAGTTTATGTGCTCTGGAAGAGACATAATAGCCTTCACCCTGCCAGCTTGAAAGCATTATGTAATAGGGGAAGACCTAGCTAGTGGGTGGATTTGGCAGTGACTCTATTTTTAAGAAACTAAAGGTGATTTTTTCTTCAGAAACAAAATTAAATTCCCAAGCTGAGAAGGCTATCGTCTTTGACTTGTTAACTGGCAATACCTAGCCAGTAATACTGTATTTGGCTACACAACAAAATGTCAGCACACGTCCCACCGGGAATCATTCATAAATTTCTGTTTCATGGTTTAAGTTCGAGTTTTAAAATGAAAACAAAATAAAGCGAGCTAGGGAAATGACAGAAAAAGGGAGGGCTTTCATTTGAAAAAGTTCTGAGTGCTGTATTTGACAAAAGCTTAAACTCTGAATTTCCAGCCTCTGTGAAATAAAGAAAACACCCCCTAACTGGGAATTCCTACTCAGAAAGGCTGTGTTTTCAACTTCAAATTCAGCATAAGGTCACCGACAGCAGTATTAACCCATTACTTAGCCAGGGCCCAATAGAGCCTCCAAAGTTTTATTACACACTTCTATAATCAAAGAATAGCTTAGAACTTAAATAGAACTTAAAGTTTCAATGCAAACTGAGCTATTCTTTGGTTATAGAGTAGTATAGGGTTAAAGTAGTACTTCTTTAATTTGAAATGAGATTTGCTTTAGATCAGTCAACGTACAGAGACAGTAGTTTGTTAAATCTATAATGGCCATAAGGTTTGATGTTTTGAGAAGATAAATACTTCATAAATGTTAAAGTTTATAGTTGGTTAGCCTGTTGCTAACAGTACTCACTTTCATGGAGGCGCCCATGTAAGTGGCCTGAATGTGTGGAGGTAAACGTAACCAATTGCATAAAAATAATATTATTTATAATAAAATAATATAATAATATTAGTAGTTATCATTAAAAAAGTAATCTGAGCGCTCTAACATTTCACATTGTAAATCGTTGCCCCCAACACTGGGGATAAAGCAGGGGAAGCTGGGAAGTGTGGTGCAGTGCAGTCTCTAAAGAACATATCACTTCAGAATTTGACTGAGAACAGTGTTTGTGAACAGCACTCACATTGCGGCTCATAAGATCGTAGTCATTTTGCTGCTGCTCTAACAGTGAGATACATTTTCAGGTCAGTGTGCAAAAGTTTTAAACTGCAGTTTGAACTTAAATCACCCTTATGGCTAAAACAGGTAAGCTGGTTCAACATCATGGGATTCAGAATCAAAGTTGTTACCGAGAACGGTTGAAAAACTCAGTGTGTCCCACTTCTGCAGTGATTTCATTCAATTTCTTGGTTAGATTAAAGCCTAGTTTTTCAAAATATCAATTAAAAGTGCAGCAATTATCAGAATGGAAATAAGGGCCAGCAGGCAAAGTCAGATTAACTCTATGACTCATAGCTCCGTGACTCGTACACTGTGGTTGTTTATTAGCAGCTGTAATTGGAGGTATGCAATTAGTCCCATCATGCTTGCTGTTCATGTCGCTTTACGGACATCTGAAGTGTTCTTCCAAGCGTCTTGCAGCAATTTCCTCTCGACTACCTGTTACTCACGGCATCCCACCCGTTCGAACGGGTGCTGTAACACAGGCTGAATCAAAGGCCTCCTAAGCATTGTTCAAACAATTTCTGTTTGTTCAGTTTAATTATGTATTAAATAGACATCCATCGGTTCGGGCGTGCATACACTATTAGCATAAATTCTTCATTAAGCACTTCTTGAGCAAAGAGAGGAGGGATGATGTGTGGATCCTCATGTTGGATCGTAGCACAATGGTGCACACTACTGAAACACTGGCAAAACAACTCATTATTCTTTGAATACTCTTTTTTTTTTCCTCAACAGTCATCATGGAGATAAATCTGAAACGCTCTGCTAATTCCGCCCCCTGCTCTGTTTGCCAATAATTATTAATTGGACAGCAAGTCAATCTCCTGCATTATGCATGAGGGGAGAGGGGGATGGCTGGCGGCAAAACAGCAGAGGAAACCGCCGGGAAGTGGGTGGAGATGTGTAGAGCTGCTTGCTAATTAGCGCTGAACAGTCGAGGTCTCCAACGGCCAGCAATAGAAGCAGCCAGCGATGGGAGGAGCTTAAAAGTGGGGCCAAGACTCGGAGGAAAAAGATCGAGTTCAGATCAACAGGAAGTGGGTTAGACGTGATCACTCATGTTGGAAGTGAGAAAGTAGAGACCAGACTGGCGTCGTTAACCCTTAGAAGAGGCCGTTAGCGCTAGCGCTAATAAAAGCATGGCTTCATTTAATATTATTTGTTTCTGCTCATGGAAAGAGAGTCTGTCAAAAGTTTGGATTCTAAACTTTCAATCCGTGACATTTTATTAGGAGTTGAATTCGAGGCAAAGTTATCGTCATGAAAAGGGTTTTTGTCATTTTTTGACATGAAAATAAAGAGATAAAGTGCCAACTCGGCCCTGTAGATACAGAATGATAATCCAAAGTTGATGTAATATAATATGTAAGTCACAATGTAATGAAATTTGTAATACAAAAATTTCTGGATTAATAAGATGTCTATTATTGATATTTCAGTTCCATCTATATGTGAGATTTCCACATCATAGGAGTTTTTCATGCCAAACAAGCACGTTATGATCAGGCAGGGCACGCTTACCTACACACTAAAAAAGATGGTTCTTGAAGGGTTCTTTAGTAAAGGAAATTGTTCTATTTAGACCCATGAACACATAAAGAACCCTTTGCATGATTAAAGAGTGCTTTGCATCATGAAAGTGTTCTTCATGAACTGATGCAGAATGTGCTGTAGATTTTTGAAAAGTGTTCTATATAGAACCCAAAAGGGTTCTTCTATAGTTATGATGTCAAGCTTGTTACAACAGTAGAATTCTTTTGGGTGCTATATAGAGTCCTTTTCAAAAGGGTTCTATATAGGACCATCTACAGCACATTCTTCATCAATCTAAAGAACCTTTTAATGATGCAAAGAAGCCTTTAATCACTCAAAGCGTTCTTTGTGTGTTACGTTTCTATATAGATCCATTTTCTTTACTAAAGAACGCTTGAAGAACCATTGTTATTATGAGTGTAGAATCAGTTCATGCTTGCATGGTGAAATGGTTCTTCAGATTGATAGAGAATGTGTTGTAAAGGGTTCTATATATGTACTAAAAAGGGTTCTGCTATTGTAACAATGTCAAGATTGTAACAACAGAAGAACCTTTTTGTTGCAACATAGAACCATTTTCAAAAAGGTTTTATATAGAACCATGTAAAACACATTGTCCATCATTTCACCATGTAAAGGACCATTTAAGCATGAAATAGCTTCTATATAGAACTCATGGTTACAAATGGAACCACTTTACTAAGAACCCTTGAATAACCACCTTTTTAGGAGTGTATACTTTCTGATGTCAGGGTTGCCAGGTTTGTGTTTTTGCTGCTTGTTTGAAATCTTCAGCTATTGAGCAAACTTTGGGCTGATTTTTGCTGGATCTAGCAACCTGCTGTAGAGAGCACTGAATAAGTAGAAAAAGATCTGTGGACTAACCAGTTTTAACCAGTGAGAAATGTTTGTTAATAAAACTGAAGAATTGGAGCTCATAATCTTTAGATATTATGCTCAAAAACTTAATTGTTGTATGAATTTAATTTTGCCAAACACTAATTTTGACTTTCAGTCAAATAGACTGAAGTCAGTGTACACAGACTTTGTTACTTGAAAATCAATTGTTGATGGAACAAATCGGAAACATTTCAATGCTTTTTTTTTGGTTTTCATTAACATGGAATTGTCTTTAGATCAAAACAGTTTTCAATAAACTGAAATATACTTACTGTATTCTGTAATATTACAGCAAAATAAAAGTAATAACTCTTCACCACTAAGGGTTAAGCTTTCCAGACCCAGGACCTCATGGAATGGCTTTATGATAAGGTTAAATGAATGCTGCAAACCCAGTTGCTAATGCTAGACCATGAATAGACCATTCAGCTTATGAACATTGCGTCCCAGCGTTCATAATCATGATGCTGAAGTATTCCCGTATATATCATTTGCAAAGTAATATCATTCAAATAGGACTGTTGGGACTACAGAGCCCCATTTAAATGCATCTGACCGCACTACAGTCAACTATATTGAACCATCTTGGGCAAAATATAATTCTAGCCTAATTCACCAAGATATGGGTTCGCTAAAAATACCCAATAGAAATAGAACAGTCCTATTTTAGTTGCTTGAGTGTCACTCAAATGCAGGCACACGTATACTGTGCCTTTGAATGGCTTTTAATTATCTGCTATTCTCCAAACAGCAAGTCAATATAGCTTGCTGGATAGAGCTTATCTCCCTGTCTCTGAGGGGAAATAATGAAATAAACTCTTATAAGAGATGGGATTTTAGAACTGTCAGTCTAATATTTCAATAGTATTGCATGACTCTGCTTATCAGAACCACCAGGAGATCAGTAGGTTTGATTCAGTGCCACAAATCTACAGCAGTTCAGGACATCGTAGTGCAGCTGAAGCAAGTCGTCTGTAGTCGAGGCCCCAACAAGAGCAACAAGAGCAACAGGCGGTTACAACCCATACTGAAGGGGAGAGAGAGAGAGAGAGGGAGAGAGAGAGAGAGAGAGAGAGAGAGAGAGAGAGAGAGAGAGAGAGAAGAAGAAGAGAAGAAGAAGAAGAAGACAGAGAGAAAGAGAGAGAAAGCAAAGAAGAAGAGGACAGAGAGAGACGAGGGGTGAGAGAGGAGAGGGGAAGAGAGAGAGAAGGGGGGGAATAAAAGAGAAGGAAAGAAAAACAGGAGAGAAAAAAGGAGACATAGACAGAAAAAGAATGAAAAAAGGGGGAGATAGTGAAAGAAAATAAAAAAGGAAAGAGAAAAGTGAGAGAGATGAAAGAGAGGAAGAAAGACAAAAAGAGGGAGAGAGAAAAAGCCTCAAAGTTGGCAACAGAAAAAAATTAAAGAAAGAGAAATAGAGAGAAAAAGAGAGTAGCAGGGAAAGAAAGAAAGAAAGCAAGAAAGAAAGAAAAGAGGGAGAGTAAAGGAGAGAGTAGCAGGGAAAGAAAGAAACAAAGTAAGAAGAGAGGGAGAGAAAGAAGGAGAAAAACCTCAAAGTGTATGAGAGAAAAGAGAAGCAGAAAAAGAAAGAGAACGACAGAGAGAAAAAGAGAGAGAGGGAGACTGAAAAAGAACCTTGCTCGTCCTCCCTGTCTCGTCTATCACTCTCCTTGAGCTTTTGTGCCAAAAACAAAGCTCGCGTGTGCCAACGGTGCTAAACGTGAATAGAGCCCGAATGGGAAGGAGCCTCCATCTGGAACGCCAGCCGCATCTCCATAGAGACAGATGTATTGTATCACTCTCTTCTGCTCTCCATTTCCTGTCTTTCTCCATCCCCCCATCTCTGGCAGGTCTCTCTCTCTCTCTCTCTCTCTCTCTCTCTCTCTCCCTTTCTCTCTCTTTCTGTCTCTTTCTGTCTCTCTCTCTCTCTCTCTCTCTCTCTCTCTCTCTCTCTCTCTCTCTCTCTCTGAATGCTCTCAAAAGCCTCCTGACCCTCTTCATTGTTTTTATCTGGCTCTGTGTGCTTTCCCTCTCTATCTCTGGTCTCTCTCTCCATCTCTCGCCATATCTCGCTCGCCCCCCCCCCCTTTCGCAGTGTCTGCCTGACAACAAGGCTGCCTCCGTCTCTTTAAAAAGCAGCCAGTGCCCAGTGGATTTCATTAGCACTCACTTGCCCGTCACTCACGCGCATGAATGGTGGGAGAGGTGGCGACCATGGCGACAGGGTCAGGTCATTGTATCGTTGGCCTTTGGCCTGACCACAGGGTGGGGGGGGCGACTCCTTCTGAATCAGTAGGTCCAACTGAGGCCCAGCAGAAAACTCCCCCTGTCCAGACCCTGTACCCCCACCTGTATGATTCACCCAGACTGAGTGTGTCTGGAGAGTCTCTGTGATGCTGCACCAAATGCAGCGGGGCCAAGGCTGCGGCACGGCCGCCACGCATTGTGTTCGTGATTTATGAGGATTTGTCTGGATAATGTCTCGCAGGTAAACTCGCTGCTCATAGGAGTGGAGCTTGCCTGCATATAATGCTATCAGGCTGCACAGGCAGTGACCGCCCCCTACTGGCCTACGGGGTGAAATGAGTAAATACCTGTTTGTGTATTAACCCAGGGGTGCACAGCTCTGGTCCTGGAGGGCCGGTGTCCAGCACAGTTGGGTAGCTCCCCTACACCCACTAACCCTGGCAATTAACAGATTAACAGACTAACAGACAGCACCAAAGTGTGCCGGACGCTGGCATTTCAAGACCGGAGTTGTGCACCCCTACCCTAAACTCTAGGCCTAAGGTTGTCCACCCCTCCTATAGGCCTTCTATTCAGGTATTAATCCAAACGTTTGCTATACATTGTTATTAATTATATACAGTGCTGTGCAAAAGTCAGAGACCACCCTTCATTGATTTAATTTCCAGTCAAAATAGCCATTAAGTATAAGTTACTTAATTTTAAGAGATGTTTATGAGGAGTCCGCTTGCATAAGAAAGGAGAAAGGAAAATAAGGTGTTAAAAGCAACAGAGAAAATTCCTAACAACCACCTGAAACACCTGGTAGGCCAAAGACAATTCTATTGGTCTAAAACACTATGGGCTTGAAATCAAACACAGAGGCTGCTTGTGTTCTCAGAACAATGGACTGTCCACCCCATCAGAGTCCAGACATCAACATCACTGAATGTGTTTGAGATTCTTTGGATCATAAGAGACAGAAAATTCAACCTCAACTTCTAAGACTGAACCTTGTAGGATTCTTTTAAAAAAACTGAAAGCAAGTCTGAAAAGAATGGAAGCTGTAATAAAGGATCTGTTACCTTTGTTCTGACTGACTGTCCTGTGTTGTATCTTGTTCACAAAGAAGTCCAGCGAATCAGAACAAGTTATTTACATATATCAGTCCTAAAAGGATGGTAATAAAAACAGCCTGTTTGAGAGGTTGGAAATGGTCATGTAAAAATGAATTATGACAAACATCATAAATGGGCATCAGAAAGAAAAATATGCAAGAGAATGGAAAAAGTAGGATATTCTCCACAACCTCCAATATAGGCTCTCTGCAGTAACAACACTCCACATTACTTCAGCAGTGATAAACAGGCTAAGCGGGCTAAGTGTAGGCTGTCACTCAATGTGTGGCCATTTACATGTGATAATGGTTGTGACATCACAACCATGACAAACCCGTAACAATGTTTACATAAGAATTATGTCAAAGCAAATTCCTGTGATAAAGGCCCTTTAAACAAAAGTATTTAAATGGATTTCTCTCTCTCTCTCTCTCTCTCTCTCTCCCTCTCTCTCTCTCTCTCTGTCTCTCTCTCCACCTCCCAGGTGTGTCGGGAGTACCAGCGAGGGAACTGCACGCGAGGTGAAAACGACTGCCGCTTCGCCCACCCAGCCGACAGCACCATGATCGACACCAACGACAACACAGTGACCGTGTGCATGGACTACATCAAGGGCCGCTGCTCCCGCGAGAAGTGCAAGTACTTCCACCCGCCGGCGCACCTGCAGGCCAAGATCAAAGCCGCCCAGCACCAGGTCAACCAGGCGGCGGCGGCCGCCGCCATGGTAGGTCGGCCCCTACGCCACTCATACACGAGGCCCCCTCCCACCTCCCTGCCCGCTCCTTAGCACACATTTCAGGCTCTTCCTGCTCCTCCCTTCTTAGCCCCTCCCCCTGTCCCATACAGAAACTGCAACCCCGGCAACCGCCAATTGCTCAAAAGCTACAGTGAAGGTAATGCAATATGTGCCAATATGCCAAAAAAGCTGACTGGTGTGTCCGCTTAACACTCTTCCCTCTATGTCAACTGTTATAACTGTGTTATAATTGTAAGATCTGTGTATTCAAAGATTCTTGAGACTGGATTCAGTAGCAGTGACATCTCTGTGCCAAATATTTTAAAACAGGTCTGGTAACACTTTATTTGAATGCGATTACATAACACTGACATAACCATACCATAAACGTGTTATGGCAGATGTCATATAGCCAAAGGTATATGGACACCTAATGGTAATCATTAATCATAAAGCTTGAGTTAGGTGTTACAGCCACACCCATTGCTTAAATGTGTGTAAAATCAAGCATATAGCCATGTAATCTCAGTTGAACAGGTCAAACTGAAAAGCTCATTGATTTTAAATGTGGTGCTGTTATAGGATGCCACCTTTGTCACAAGCCAGTTTGTGCAATTTCTAAGAACATCAGCCACATAGTGGTAGATCACACAATCTCACAGAATGGGTCCGTTGGGTGCTGAAGTGCATAAAAAATTGCCTGTCCTCTGTTGCATCACTCAGTATAGAGTTCCAAACTGCCTCTGGAAGCAAAATCAGCGCAGGAACTGTGAGTCGGGAGCTTCATGAATTGGGTTTTCTAGGCTGAGAGTTGCACACAAATCTAAGATCACTATGCACAATGCCAAGCGTCGGCTAAAGTGGTGTAAAGGCAACGTCTTCTCTGGAGTGATGATTTACGCTTCCCTATCTGGCAGAATCTGTGTTTTGTTGGATGCCAGGAGAACGTAACTCCATATTAATGCCCATGGTTTTGGAATGGGATGTCCCACAAGCTCACATAGGTGTGATGGTCAGGTGTCCACATACTTTTGACCATATATTGTATGTCATAATGTATGATGCCATTACAGCTAACTAGAGTACACAGTAAAATTATTTTTAAAATTATTACAGTTTGCTCCATCAGGTTCCCAATTGCGTCTTAAATATTGACTATAACTGCTTACATTGTAACTGAACTGAGCTTTCGCTGGTATATGGTGTATAAGGTGTAGTTTTTATGCCAAAATTCTGAAATGTAAAATTTTGATTTTATGTGGTACATAATCATTCAATCATTAATTTATGCCTGCAACATGTGAAGCTACACCTAATTAGCTACACCTAGCTAATTAAGCTACACCTACCAAATGACTTCTTACCCAGAGTTTTTTTTTTCTCTGCATTTTGAAAGAACTTCATTCTTTATCCTATCCCAAATTTAAATTCACCCTATGGCCTTCAATTTTCCATATTTGGCATAAAATTAACTCACTGTGGTAATATATTAGCACATTTTTTAAATAAAACTTAAAATGTAATTTTTTTACATTAATTACATTTGAAAATGTGGAACATGTTCTCTTTTAGAATTAAGCAGCCAAATTCAGTAAACATTTTTAATTAACATATAAAACATATCTTTGTAATTTAGCTTTTATTTAAAATGGTAAGGCAAACCAATTTATGCACAGCAATTTTTTTTTATATTTTTCCCCTTTATTAATATATTTTCTTTTGTCTTTTTGTATTTGTTTTTAAACTCTGTATTTGAGCAAAGTATGTTCAGTTTTACTCGTATCTATTATTTATCCATCATTATTATTTTATAACAAGTCAATATTTAATTTTTTTTAAGCAGTTATGCCTAATATTATTGTACATTTTATTAGTACAAATGAATGTACAAGAACCTGATGTGGCAAATTTTAAAATTTTGATAACTAAAAAAAGATTTTAGGCACAGTTTTGAAACTTTGCATAGTGGCTTATATTAAAAGGAGGTTTTTTCCTAAATTTTTTTGGAAATCCACAGAAACCCATCATGTGACCTACCAGACCTTACCTAGACACTACATGAGTTAGCATGGAATAACCCTCTTCTTTTTGACAGAGCACTTTACTGATACCTGTCATTGTGTGCCAAACTGAGACTATCTAAGCACATTTACATTCTAATGATTCTACAGAAGGAAAAGAGGCTGATTATGATTTTATTACTCCTTCATTTCTGCAAGCAGAAGTAGATAGAACCTGTCTGGCTGTTATAATGTTCTTCTATCTATCGCAGTAACTGACCCTTTTTACATGACACTTAGAGTAGTCCTCTCAGTAACTAATTGTCATTACTGTGCATGCATTAGTCTTGTTATTTGTTGTATATTGCATTCCGATGATTTGTTTTTTTGTTTTTGTTTTTTTTTCTCACCTACCCAAACTGCACTGCTGCCCCCATGATGCACCTCTGCTTGCTGTTTATGTTAATGCGCTTGATCCCCATTGGCCCATTGCCATCATGTGCTCGCTGCCTGCTAATTAAGACTCAGTCGGCTGTCAAATCACTGAAGCGACCCCTCGAGGCAACCTTTGACCTGGTACTATGACCTTTCACCTTTTAGCTTGGCATGTAGCTCTACTGTAGAAACTTTGTTGAACTAAAACATTATACTTGATTTTTCATATGCAAGATTTTATAGAAGGGGTGATTAATTGATTGTGCCACATTCAGTCGGCCAGTATTATGTTATATAAGGATTAGACTAACTTTGCTAGCAAACGTAAAAGACTTCAAATCAATAAATCAAGAAATACCAAAATGTATATATAAGAAAATATAATATTTGACTTGTTAGCCACAGTCAGTTCATCACCTCTACTGATACAGGGCGTGAACAAGTAAGGGTAATTTATATTTATTAAAATATCTACGTAGCATGACTGTAGACTTATCTTAATGTTTTGTCTACGTATCCTGCATGAACGTTACTGTTTCTAGTTTTGCATGTCTCTGGGAACGGGTGGGCACATAGCAGGGGGGAGAGATTTAACACCGCTTGAACTTTATCATGGAGCTAGCAGTGCAGATTTCTTTGTTAACACCATCTTTGTCTATTATTATTGTTATTAAATTGATATACACATTTAATGAGAGCTCCACCACTTAAAACAATGCCTGCTTTACAAAAGTAAATGTAGTACTGTATCCTTTGCCAGTGTTGTCATTTCTCTTCACTTATGTGGGTATTAAATCTGAAACCACCGTGAGGTCCAGACTAGGCCACTGCTTGCTTGCTGTTTGACAAAAGTTTTTGTTTACCATAAAACTTTCTATCCCTAACATACTCTCCCTTCTCTCTGTTCTCTACCTCTCATCCTCCTCCGTCTGGACGACAGGGGATACCACCAGTTTTGCCTCCATTACCAAAGAGACCTGCACTTGAAAAAACCAACGGTGCCACCGCCATGTTCAACACTGGCATGTTCCAGTACCAACAGGCTCTCACCAACATGCAGTTCCATCAACAGGCAGCCTTCATACCGTCAGGTAGGCCTGCTTGCTGCATTCTACCTTTCACCTGGCCACCTCTTAGATTAATGTACTGACCCCACATGTGCCTAACTGACACTAACCTTGCAGAGTGCCATCCTCAGACTCCAAACATACAAAGACTCTGTGATTAGAATGCGTATTTACTCTGTTGTTTCCGTGAACATGGAATGCCGTTTAAATACTTTTGCGACATCATCCATTTTCAGTGTATTTTCCAACATCCTTGGTAAGGAAAATGCGGTAAACGCTGAGAGACAAAAATTTTGCTTGAGGAATCTGGAAATTCAATCGATTTTTTAAAATTCATGCATGATTCAGTGGTTGAAATGTGAAAAAGTCATTCAAAGTGGTTCATTGCAGAAAAACATACCCTCCCTATTTACAGTGGAGGAGATAGGAACCAGAATTCACAATGTCTTTGATGTTTACCATCCACATCCACAAGAGTACATATGTGAATCTGAGTTTTTAATCTTGAAGATTGTAAAATAGTATTAAATTTGAGAAAAATTTACATTTTCTTTTGGGAATATTTTGCCTTACAGCTCCTTGCATGTATTTTTCTGCAATAAATAGGTTTTTAAAGACACATTTTAGTCCAAAACCTTCTCAATCTATCATAAAACAATGTATCTGACAACAGACAGCATATTCAAAACAATATCAAGTGAAACGTTTTGTGAAGGAACTATTACACATCCTCAGACGTCTGGTTCCTATCATCACCACTGTAAACAATTCTGACTCAGTACGCTTATCTTGAACAGAGCATTTCACACCAAACCACTCTGAGTGACTTTGTTTACATCTTAACCATTTTAGCTTGCAAGAATGTAGAAAAATCAATAGATTTCACTTTTAATAATGATTAAAAACCTCTGTGCTTTTAGAGAACTGTAGCTCTAACTTGAAAGTTATTGGATGTTTTCACATGTATTATGGTAAACTCAGCTTAAATGAAAGCTAGATTATGTCTCAATTTGGGATTCTCCAATTTATCCATATAGATACTCTCACTGTTTGACTTTTCTAGCACAACCAAAGTAGTGTATTGTTTTACTGTTAGCCTATGTTGGAAATATTGTCTTCTCAGGATGGAAGAACATGATTATACACCTTTCTATATAGCGTAAATAACTCTGTAGGCTGTCCTTTATTTATGTCACTCCTATGGCCATTCTTCATAGACCACTGAATTTGCTACTTCCATTTCTGTAATGTCCCTTTCACATTCATTTTGGCTGCCATTCTTAATATTAGCACCAACAGAAACAGCATAAAATCAATTTAAAACAATTTGATGTTAAGCCACCCTCCTAACCTTTATCCTGTAAAAATATCTAATAAGCTACTTCTTACATTTTTTCATGTGCCCCACATTTTAACCCCCTAAACCCCATATACTACCACTGCTACTTGTACTACTACAACTACTAATAATAATGACAATGATAATAACTTTATATAGAGCACTATCAAACAGGTGTCAGCTTAAAGTGCTTTAGAGACATTCAATAATGTTAATAGAAGAAATTAAAACTAATACTTCAGTTCCTCACTTTCATAACTGCATAACTGATATAATTGTACTGGATAATATTCCTTAAAGAGTAACTACACCCCACTATTTTCAGCTCCACCCCTGGCTCAACTTTGAAAAACGCTCAAAAATAGGAGGGGCACATTTGGAGGGGCACAGCAGTGATGTTCGGGTTTGGAGGTGGGGCTGAGAGGGAAACCAGGTGGGCTGGGCTGCTGTGTTTTTAGAGCTAGAGTACTTTAGCTACCTGAAAATATGGAGAGTGACAGAGTCAAACTGCACTTTTGCAACTGAGAGTCTTATGAGGTTGAAGATTTTTCTCTACTACCATCCCCATCCTTGACGAGGGAAAGTGTTTCTGATCAGGCAGTGTGTCTTGAGCCTTAACAGTATGAGCCACTGACTCAAGCCGCCAAAGAGAAAGAAAATGATTAGCAGCGAGCGGCGGAGGCATCCGAACGGTAGAACATTTTCACGAAAAATGTGATGGCTAGCTTCTAATGATCTGTTCAGCGGGTCCATATTCGATACAACCCAAGCCCTGATTTCTTAGATGCACTGAATTTCGAATAAATAAAGTGAATTTCTTTGAACTCTGTCTAAGTTTTATTTAGTTTGACATCAGACTGTATCACCGGACAGCCAGGGTTTGCTGCAGTGGCCCTAAATCCTTACGTTCTGCAAGCTGTTCATGGCACTTACCAGTGTTACATCTGATTCAGTTCCCACTCAAATTCACATTCCTCTTTATAAACTGAACCCACGGCTCTGCACTAACTGAACAGAAATCAGCGGCAAGCAACACTGGAACTACGGAAAGCAAGAAAAAAGTTTGAGGAGGGCTGCACGGACGAAAGGTTGACACAGTCAGTAACAATAGCCATTTATCATTAACCTTTGCTCAACCGTTTCACTTTCCGTAGTTCCAGTGTTGCTTGCCGTTGATTTCTGTTCAGTGAGTCGTGTGCCTGAGAGTTTGAGTTGTGAAGGGAAACATGAATCGGATACAACACCCACAGCTTTATGGAGACTTGCAAGAATCCTCACTTAATCGGTCCAACATCTTTATTACAAACTAAGTTTAGATTAATTGGGTTATTTACAGTTGTTACAGACAGCTGGCTTATCGCAGCCTTGTGATGTGGTGCTGGGAGTATTTAGCTCAGCGTGTGGGTGTGGTTATCTCCTCGCTCTGAGCTCCTATGCTTTCATATTTATGAGCACGATTGAGTAGGGCATCATTAGGGGGCGGTAACGTTGGTTGACTGATTTGCATACTGTGATGTGTCTTCGAACTTTGGTACCAAGACACGTTATCCATGCCTATAGCAGGGTTGAACCAGAAGGGCACTGCAGAGGCAGAACTGACCATGATAAAAATGATACTTTTACAATTTGGAAAGATGTGTTCACATTTCAAGCAAGGCTGGAATATTTTTTTTATTACAGAGCAGTGCATTTCAGCTGTTAATGAAAAAAAGGTCTTAGGGTGTAGTTACTCTTTATAGAGGTCATATTATATTTTATGAAATTTATAAAATGCATATGACGTGTGATAGTTTATTTACTAAACACAGTCAGTCTTAATTCATAAAACATCATTTCATTTACACGCACACTCATACATACATATACATATGTTCTCATATGACCTTTGTTCTCATTAGTTGCCCTGTATTATCCCATAATCAAAAATACAGTCCATGCTGAAACACCCCTTATAACTTTAATGTGAATAGGCGGGGTTAAACTGCTTTATGCCTGATAGGCGGAGACATGCAAATGCATTGCTTTTTGTGACATCACAAAAATCTGTGAATCTAAATGGGCTGTTTTTCATCTTACTTTACGCATATGAACTGGTTTTGAAACTGTAATAGTGCTTAAATACTACGTCAAACTTTGGTTTAGGAGTAGTGAGGAGACTTCACTTTTCCCTGATATGGGCCCTTTAAGCCCAACGACTGAAAGATGAGCTTAGAGTTAAAGAGTTAAAACCTCCTTTCCTAAAATGACTGGCTGACCCAGTACCTGCTCTCTGCAGGCCTGATCCTGTCTTAATATTGCAGTATACCTCAGTGGGCTCAGTCAAGGTGAACCGTCAGTATCCCTCCCCCAGTCTGTTTGGCAGCACCGGCGCCAGCCCGGCCCGACCCGGCCCCAGCAAAGTCATCTCACTCCAGCCCGCTCTCCGCCCTGCCTGCCCTAAAAATAGCTCTGCATCGATTTTCACCACACTGATACTCCTGTTTCCCCCACGTCGTAATACACAGCACCCCCCTCCACCTCCCCACCGGTCCTGTCATGGCCCGTTAAGAGCGTGCAAATGGACAGCACTCTGCAAGGAGAGTTAGATCAGTAGCCTAGTTGGAGTTTCCCAGCAGCAGAATTTAAGAATTTTACAGTTTCTGCTTTGGCTGCTGCTGATAGAAGGTCTATGTCAAATTCACTGCCTCACTTTCTATGTATTGTGCATTATGTGCAGATATAGTTTGTGTATAATGTTTTATTGTGGTGCCCAGGGCCTAATTAATGTGTAAAGGTACATTAAAGGAGCTACATGTGAGTTTCAAGAAGTTACATTGCTTTTGTTTGCAATTTCCAATTGTTCCAATTGACTGTCCATACACAGAATGTTGGTAAAACCCCAATTCGACAATAATGATAAACTGTAGTGCACTGTAGTAATGCTTGACCTTTAATAACCCTACAGCCAAATAATGCTTGACCTTTAATACCCCTACAGACAAATAATGCTTGACCTTTAATACCCCTACAGCCAAATAATGCTTGACCTTTAATACCCCTACAGACAAATAATGCTTGACCTTTAATACCCCTACAGACAAATAACGCTTGACCTTTAATACCCCTACAGCCAAATTATGCTTAACCTTTAATACCCCTACAGACAAATAACGCTTGACCTTTAATACCCCTACAGCCAAATAATGCTTAACCCTTAATACCACTACAGCCAAATTATGCTTAACCTTTAATACCCCTACAGACAAATAATGCTTGACCTTTAAAACCCCTCAGCCAAATAGTCCTTTTCCATTAATACCCCCTCTGCCAAACAGTCCTTAACCATTTCTACCCCCTCAACTAAATGACCCTTAACTATTAATACCCTTCAGCCAAATAATCCTTAACCATTAATAACCTCTCAGCCAAATGACCCTTAACTATTAATTCCCCTGCAGTAAAGTCATTCTTAACCATTAATACTCACTTAGGCAAATGATACTTAATTATTAGTACCCCCTCAGCCTAATAATCCATAACCATTTATACCCCCTCTGCCAAATAATCCTTAACTATTAATACCCCTCTGCCAAATAATCCTTAACTATTAATACCCCTCTGCCAAATAATCCTTAACCATTAATAACTCTTCAGACAAATAACCTTAACCATTAATAGCCCCTCAGTAAATCAGTCCTTATCCAGTAATACTCACTCTGCCAAATAATCCTTAACCATTAATACCCCCTTAGCGAATGACCCTTAACCATTAATACCCCCTCAGCCAATTAACCCTTAACTGTTAATACCCCCTCAGCCAAATAATACTTAACCATTAATACCCCCTCAGCCAAATAACCCTTAACTATTAATACCCCCTCAGTAATTAACCCTTAACCAGTAATACTCACTCAGCCAAATGATCCTTAATTATTAATAACCCCTCAGTCAAATAATCCTTAACCATTTATACCCTTAACCAGCCAAACAACCCCTAACCACAAATACCCCCACAGCCAAATAACTCTTAGCAACAAAAATCAACATGCCACCTCAGCCAAATAATCCTTAACCATTAATACCCTCAACAGCCAAATGACCCTTAACCACAAATATCAACATACCATCTCTGCCAAATGACCCTTAACCAGCCAAACAACACTTACCCACAAATATCCCCATAGCCAAATCACACTTAATCACAAATACCCCCACAGCCAAATGATCACTGACCACAAATACCCCACAGCCAAATAACCCTTAGCAACAAATATCAGCATGCCACCTCAGCCAAATGACTCTTAACCACAAATATCCCCAGCCAAACTCTATACAGTTCACACAGCGTTATTAGCTGGCGTTGTAGCAACTTAAAGTTATTTCACAAGCTTCCCCTTCTTGTCATTTAACTGAGGCAATGTTAGTGTTGTGGAAAATGTGCCGTTGTCCAAAATACCTGGTTTTAATTAGCTACAACAACATAGTCCAGCTCAGTAATGTAGCTGTAAATTGCAAATACCATATTATGCAGGAAATCTAACAAAGTGTGTTACATTTGGTTCAATAGGATTTTTTGTAAAATTGGTCTAACCTAGCCAATTTGCTGTGAAAGACCTCATTTGTGGGCAGAGCATGTATAGGTCATTTATTCCACTTCGTGCCAAATCTATAAGCATATTTTAAGGCTGTACAATTATTCATTTGCATCCAATTTGTGCAGCTGAAGAAAATGGATTGATTGCAAAAACAAACAACCATATTAATCAAAATTGCCTTAAGAACGACAACACTTAGGACTAATCTGAAGCAACACGTTGAGCTGCTGACACATGTTGACCACTGCTTAATGCTTCGAACTGATTTATGAAGTTAATGGGATTGGAAACACGATGATCTTACTTGTAGCTCTTTCAATATGACTAATACTGTGCCATAATGGAATGTGCTATGATGAAACAATACACCCCAGTTACTCACTGCACCTCCGTAACAGCCATTAATTATCATGTATTAATTGTTCAGTGCCTTAGAAGGTTTATTCTCCTGTTCCCGTTAACATTATTATCCTGTTTTATGTTTCCATTCTAATGACACATGTGATGGGTTGTGTTGATTCTTCTCCCCCTCCTTCTGCCTTTCCACTTCACTTCCTGTTGCAATGCATGATGGGCAGGCTCAATATTGTGCATGACACCTGCAGCGAGTGTTGGTAGGTGCCAGCTTTCTTTCTTGATTATCTTCAAGCCCTTTCGTTTTTTTGTTCCCCGTTTACCTACACTCCATTTCAATCACCACTTAGTGGAGCATTGTGCATCAGAGGGGCTAGATGTCACATTATTCTGCCAACTGACATCAATTAACTTCCGAGTCATGACATTTACCTGACATTTTACTGAGAGGAAATAAAAACACAACAGCAATGATTTCTGGAGCTCTTTATTGTGTAGATTGAATAAATGTGCCTGCGATTTTCAGACTGGTAGCTGGTAGGTTTTCATTCATGAGATTTTAAAGTGAAAGAGACCACAAAACAAAGCCATAGAAGGTAAATATCTTTCAAATTAAAGGAATAGTTTGGGAAAATGTCACATTTGCATATTTTTCCCCCTACCCAAAATATAGTCAATCAGCCAAGACATGTTTGGTGTTGAAGTTCACTTCTTCGGTTTTGCACTGGAGCTACAAGGCAGCTAACAAGTCATTGAATCCATAAACACAAGCCCAAATCCTCATGCACTTGTCTCAAACCATGCCATTAAAGGTGAATTCCACTCAAACCTTCTGCATAATACAATGATTAACGTGTAAACAAAGTTATTCAGAGTGGTTGATGCAAAATGCAATGCGATCCAAGAATTGTTCACAGTGGTGGTGATGGGAACCAGACGTCGGAAGAGTTTAATGCCTCTAAAATGTCTCTAAATGGTTATGAATATGGTGCCTGAAACATATTTTATGAAAGTTTTGAGAATGTTTGGCCTAAAACCTTTTCTTCAATACACTCATGGCGGCCAAGTTCATGCAGGGGGTTTTAAGCCAAAAAAACTTGATGATTTTGCCATCATCAAAATTACATATAAAAGCTCAGAAGATGTGTAGGTTCACTGGTGGTTTTTGGATCGTAAATAAACTGGTTCCTAAATTGGTTGGCTCCAACCTCTGGTTCCTAAATTGTTTGGTACGTTTCTCTACAATTAACCATGTCACGTCAAACCATTCTGCATGACTTTGTTTAAATCTCAATGCCGGAATTATGCGGCAATTTTCAATTTTCGGTGGACATCCCCTTTAAGCTAAGCAGCCTCAAATGGCATCCAACTTCCTGTACAGTGCACTGTATAGGTCCTAAAATAAAGGCTCATGTGCCCAAACTGTGCATTATACATCTAACAAAGAGAAATTTGGGGTTCAGCCATGTTTCCTACTGAACATATAATACACTACAGGTGAGTAGAAGCCAAAGTAACTCACGCAGTGCATTATACAGGCTGCAGGGAGGCATTTCAGATTCAGCCACACACATTTAAAAAGAAAGTTTTTCTGGATGTCCAGGGTTGGCTGAGCTTTCAGCTGTGCAGTGACGTTTGGTTCATTTTTATAAATAAGAGCAAGTTACACTGTGGCCTAAACCACATAGGCAGGTCTGCAGGATATTGCTCTTGTGAAGATGTGAACATGTTTTCACCAGAGAGAAACCTGAAACCTCAGGGCCTTCCAGGCCTTCAAAGAAGATCTAATTATTTCTGGGAAAACAAAAAAATAGCCCTTACAGTACCAATACTGTACCAGTTTAATTTGATTTAATACAATAATCCAGCTTGCTGTATTTATAACTCTTTACTCATTGTTACGTTTTGGTTGGAAGCAAAGCAGTTCAAATCTTGAAACACTCAATTAAAATTTATCAGGATCATTTTTTTCTCGGTAGATGCAGCCAAGCAACTCTCCCATTGGTTTTACATGTCACTGACTGTGAATTTGAGCTATAGTCTAACCAGGTTTCAGTCAGTTGTCATAAATGGAAAACAGTGGCGGCAGCTCTACGCCAGCATGGTTTACTGAAAGAGTCTCTGTAAAACTCATCCATACGAAGAAAAATACATGTTAATGTCTTTTACAAGCTTAAATAAGACAAAGACATAAACATTTGCTTTTAATCTAGAATGGTCAAAATATGTCAATGTGCACAAGCATTAACTTAGCACCAACATACTATCAGAAATTATTATAGAGGTGTTTTTTTCTCATTTTTGACTGAGTCTAGACTTCTATGGCCTGAAATGAAGGATTAGCTCTTATAGTCAACTTCATTAAGTTAACAACAAAATACAAGTTATGTCTAAATATTATTATTTCTAGGTATTTTATTATTAAAATTCTGTTGCTTACCATACCAAGAGCAAAAGATGGAGGTATATGGAATTTGGAGACATCTCCTTTTGAGACCTCACATCTATAAAAATAGAGGCCATTTTAAAAGCATAGCCCATTATCCTGACTCCATTAGGTGCAAAGTGCTTTGACCCCTATGATTGCCACTTGTTATGGAATTTGTAGTTATCCACATCAGCCTCTTAGTTCCAATGCCAAACTAAAGAGGCAAACTCCAGACACCAAACATGTCTTTGCCATTTGACTAGGTTTGGGTAACATTGTAAAAAAAAAAAAAGAACTGTAAAATTTACTTTTCACCAAACTATTCAAGCCATTAAGTAAAAAGTGTAGTTCTAAGAAATACATGTTCAACCTGTTTCCCTTTAATTTTGTGCTTTCATCCTCAGTGAAATGTTGCTTCCTTGCAATGGCGGCATGATTCATCACTAATGTGCCCTTGACCTAATGACCTGTGGCATGGCTTGTACTTTGTGTAACCCCCCCCACCTCGACCATGCTCATCTGCCTTCACTGAAAGTAATCGAATTGATATCACATCTGCACTATCCCCTGTTCATTTTGGTTATTTGGTTTTCCCTCCGAAAAGTTCCCATGATGCACGGTGCTTCGCCAGCCACTGTGTCAGCAGCCACCACATCTGCCACAAGTGTTCCCTTCGCAACAGCCACAGCCAATCAGGTTTGCTCCTTTACCGCTTTCCCTCTGCCTCCGTTTAGCTTTCTAGCATCTCACTCAGCTCAGTTTACTTGCCGTGTGCGTGTGTTTGCATGTGAGGGAGGTTGCCGGACGTGTTTTTGGGTGTGTATATATATGTGTGTGCGTGTGTGTGTATGTGTGTGTGTATGAGGCTGCATCATATTGTATGTGTTGACCTCCGTCCTGTTAACCTGCATGCGAATGCGATCATTAACCACTCAGTCAAAGACAAACACCACATTTCATGCTAGGCCTGATTTTCAGACTGAGTGGATTGCCGTGTTTACTCATCAGATTGTTGCTGACGGCTTTCAGCACCACGCCTGATACATATGACATTAATAATACATAATAATGCATCATTACAGAGGACATCACTCATACAGAAGCGGCCTAGTAAATTAAAGGGGCTTTCAGGTGTAAAACCAGCATTTATTTTGTTATTTGTCAGGTAATATTCTGCAGTACAGCATTGCATCCATCTCTAAAGTGCTTGTAGCTTTTAAAAAGTTCTGCCCACCTTCAAGATACATCATCAGAAGAGGGCTTTCACATTTTTAAACCAGAAAATCTCACTCTAGAGACAACTGTGGCACCTCTGAAGGAGGCGAATAACTATGTTTACAGATGAAGAGAAGGTTACAAGTCCAGAATGCCCCTTTAATTTAGCACACAACAGTTAATAATCAATGCAGTCAGTGTAACCAAGATTGCAGTTATTGTGTAGACTATATTTTAGACACAGCAATACCAACTGTATGTCCTAATACACCAAGTAGATGTACTACTTTACAGCAGTGACCACAAGTAGTCTTTTATTACGTGCTTCCACTCACTGGCCACTTTATTAGAAACACCTACCTTGTGCTTCCATTGACTGGCCACTTTATCAGAAGCACTTACCTTGTGCTTCCACTCACTGGCCACTTTATTAGAAACACCTACTTTGTGCTTCCACTCACTGGCCACTTTATTGGAAACACCTACCTTGTGTTTCCACTCACTGGCCACTTTATCAGAAACACCCATCTTACAGGTCTTTATATAGATGTACATCAGATATCCATCTGTTTGTCATACACAACTGTCTCTCTTCTAATCATTGGTCAATTTCTGACCACAGGCCGCAGTTGTCCAAATATTATTTGGGTAGTGGTCCATTCTCAGCACAGCAGTGACACTGACATGGTAGTGTGTGTGGTGCTGGTACAAGTGGATCAGACACAGCAGTGCTGCTGGAGTTTTTGAACACTATGTCCACTAACTGTCCACTCTATTAGACACTCCTACCTTGTTGGTCCACCTTGTAGATGTAAAGTCAGAGACGATAGCTCATCTGCTGCTGTCCAGTTTGTGTTGGTCATCCTCTAGTCCTTCATCAGTGGTCACAGGACGCTGCCCACAGGACGCTGTTGGCTGGATGTTTTTGGTCAGTGGACTATTCTCAGTGTCACTGCAGTGTTGAGAATGATCCACCACCCAAATAATACCTGCATTGTGTCCTGTGGGGGCCCTGAGCATTGAAGGGGGTCCTGAGCATTGAAGAACAGGGTTACAAAGTATGCAGAGAAAAAGATGGACTACAGTCTGTACTGTAGAACTACAAAGTGCTCCTATGTGGTAAGTGGAGCGAGTGAGTGTAGAAACAAGCAGGTGTACTTAATGAAGTGGCCGGTCAGTTTAATATCTATATCAGGTGACATTTTTATCGGCTGAAATGACACAGACATTGTAGCTCAGTGTACATCACAGTGACATAATGATGATAATATGACAGCTCGTCAGGTCAGGCTGGTTGGAGAAAAGCGGCCCTGAGGTAAAGCGAGTTTCATTTTACCATTTATAAGATATAAGCTGTCACATCATCAGCATTATGCCACTGTGACAGACACTAAGCTACCAAGTCAGATGGAATAACATGCTGTCATTCCTCCACAAAAACTGTCATATGACATCAAAGCTGACAAAAGCAGATGATGCCTATTGGAATGAGCCTTTAAAAATGATTATGTAGGTTTATGTCAGTTGTCAAGACAAGCCTATGTAGGTGTTATGTGGCCTTATGAGCATTGAAAAGGTGTTTAAAAAAACAGATATTTTGCTATGCAGAAAGAAGAATAAGCTGGCTATGTAGTTGCTGTGGCAATGAAATTGTAAATGCAGTGCTAAATGCTCAGTGCTCTTGGCCTCAGCGCTTTCAATTAATGTTTCTCTTTTTTTTTTTTGTTCTTGCTTCCAGATTCCAATAATATCTGCAGATCATCTGACTAGTCACAAGTATGTGACTCAGATGTAGGAACATTTCAAACAGTAAGTTGTTTCATACTGATGTGCATGTAGTGTTTTATTTTTTTCCACAAGGTCCCCTTTTTTGACATTCGTGTAGGTTTATGTATTTTTTTTTTCTTTTTATCAGCCTGTCTTCATCCCTTTGAATTAAACAGGCTGTTTTTGTTACTGTGCCTTTAAGACTGATATATGTATCTGATTAGCTGCCTTGAATTACACTGAGATCCAGAAATGCACTGTATTTTTGTGACATCACAATGAATTAAAATTAAAAACAGTCCTGATTCCAGTCTGTCTTTAGAATTAAACAGGCTCTCTTTGTTACTGTTCCTCTAAGACTGATATATGTAAATGAGCTCTGTTCTGATTAGCTGCACTGTATTGTGCCTCATTCAAAAAGCAGTCCAGGCTGAAACTTTCCTTATAACTTCCACATAAATAGGCAGGGCTAAACTGCTGTAGGCTGACTAGGCTGAGAGTTTTTTTGTGACATCATAAAAACAAACAGACTTCAAAATGGTTATAATTCCAGCCTCTCTCTGTTATTTAGAATTATACAGGCTCTTTTTGTTATTGTGCCTTTAAGAGTGATATATGTAAATGAGCTCTGTTCCAATTGGCTGCCCTACATTGTGCCTCATTCAGAAGGCAGTCCAGGCTGAAACACTCCTTATAACTTCAACATGAGTGGGTGGGGCTAAAGTGCTGTAGGTTGGCTGGACTGATATATGGAAATGCATTGTTTTTGTGACATCACAAAAAAATTATGCTGTTTGTTTCCACATTTAGGCCATTTATGGACATAATAGTAACATATATGGACAATATTTACAGGATTTATACACACTAAGAAATGATGGTTCTTCAAGAGTTCTTTAGCAAAGAAAATGGTTCCACATAGAAGCATAAACATTCAAAGAACACTTTGCATGATTAAAGGGTTCTTTTCATTGTGAAAGAGTTCTTCAGATTGATAGAGAATGTGCTGTAGATGGTTCTATACTGAACTTATTTGAAAAGGGTTCTATATAGCACCAAAAAGGGTTCTTCTGTAGTAAAAAGCTTGACATCACAACAATACAAGCACCCTTTTTGGTGCTATATATAATGCAAAGAACCCTTTAATCATGCCAAGGGTTCTTTGAATCTTCATGGTTCTATATAACTAAAGAACCTTCAAAGAACCATCATTTTCAACAAGCAAGGAAGTTTGTGTTTCGTTGATGTGGGATGAAAAATGAAAAGGAAAAACGATGGTATGTTACCAAAGCTGACCTCATATCTTATGTTTTCTCCCTTCAGATCACATCGAAGTGTGCTTGTGTGCCGTCCAGATTTAGGAACCACCCTTTATACACCAAGCAGAGCAAAAGAAGATAAAGAAAACCATGCCACCATTCCCCGGAATGACGGAAAACACGCATGCTTAACACCGTTAAGGAGATTTGACATAGTTCAGTCGGAGTCTTGAAAACTCTTCACTTTGGTAATCCAGACGAGAAAACGAGAAAAAACAAAAAAACAAAAGAACATCACTGTCTGCCTTTTTGTCTATGGATGGTAAAACAAAAGCATGCCAGAACCATTTCAGTGACGAGAAAAAGGTCGATGTGTGGCGTCTCGTGTCATGTCGGTACATCAGATGAGGATTTTTTTTGGGCGAAGGGTGGGATTTATTATTATTTTTTTGTGTTTCTTTTATGGTTTACAAACGAAGGTGCACCTTGTTTCGAAATAACGTAAAAGGAACAAAAAAACGAATGTCATTATTGAGACTAGATGTTCTGCATGCAGTGTTCCATTTGTAAGCCGATATTTTCTAGAACTTGATTGTAATGAGGTGGTTTTTTTTGGAGGGGGGGAGGGTGGGGGGTTGACGAAGGACACCTGCAAAATGACAACAATGAATGTTCTAGTTGTACGACACAGCAGTGTTCCTTTCTAAGCACATTGAAGCTTCGACTCTTCATGTTGCCGACTCCACATCAAGTGCCATAGACAGTACTTGCATCCAAAAAAGATTAGACTTGTTTCTAGGTTACGTGTGTGTATTATTAATGCCTTTGAGTCTCTAATGTGATGTCTTATTCTTTTTTTTTCTTTATTTCTTTCTGGTTATCGTTTCAGTATTTTTGGTCGTCGATGGTTTAGTGATACTGAACGTTTGTTACTTGCCCTACCTCCTCCCCCAACATCCGTACAAAATAATAGCCAAAAAACACTCAAAGGGGCTCACTTTAGCTTTTAAGCGCTAGCTTCTGTTTCTCGGCTTTTCTTTTCATTTTGTCCCATTCTAGGCCGAGCGCTTGAATCGGACTGCGTCCTCTGTTATGCAGAGTGGAGAAGTGGCGTTCAGATGAGTATCGGACTGCGGAGGGGAGCTAACGGATGCTAACACCATCCTACTGAGATACCAAATCAGCGTCAGTTACGGTGGGGCAATGCGTTTGTTTATTTTTCTATTTTTTTAGTGAATTTACCCCATTTCTTGTTCTGGGCTGTTTTCTAGGTTAGTTTAGTCTGAAATTTCCATTGAACGGAAAATGAAAAGTGGGGAGAAGAGAAGGATTAGCTTTCCTTTCTTTCTTTTTGTAAAAAAAAAAAGATGATAGCTTTTGTTGCTGTTGTTGTTTTGTTTTTTTTTCTTTTTGTATTTTATATTTTGTGATCAGGGCTGTGGGTGTGTGTTTTTTTCTGCTCCGCTCGGCCCCGCGTGGGTGGACGATGAGGGCTGAGGTCACTGCAGCCTCACGGAAAAGAGCCGGATAAACAATGCGCGCTACGGCGCGTGGGCGTTTCACAGGGCCGCTGATGAGCGCTGTTCGGTAGTAAAGTACATCCGGCGAGGGCATGATTTAATGATTGTATTATTCAACAGCAAACCGCCTTAGGCCACACGAGCTCGGCGCCGCACAGTACGCCATTCAGACATGTCCACGCTCAGCTGTTCCCGTTCAATTACGGCCGTTAACTTTTATCCGCCGTATGCCCTCTTCGTAGTCGTTTGTTGATTGTTTTGACTGCATTATTTCATTTGTATCCGTCGAAAAAGAAAAAGAAAAACAAAAAACATAGGAATGTCTTGTCACATAACTAAGCTTGGATACCGTTCGTCGAGTAAGATTTACCGATAACTTTTGTAGTACTATTAGAAATAATTTTTTCCGTTTGTTATTGTGTTCTTCATACCATACTCAGTTTTAAAACTTGTGTAGTGCTGATTTGAGTATTAGTAGTACAATTGTAAAACTAAATGATTTTTATTTTTAGTGAAAGGTAAGACTTTTTGTTTATTATTTTTCCTTTTTTTTCCTTGTTTTCAAACATCTTTTATATGGATATAAGAGGAAAATAGTTGCCAAGAGACAAACTGAGTTGCTGCTGTGGCATCAACTACATCTAATATTGGAATATTTTAATGATCTTCTGGTTTGTAATTAGTCATTCGAATTAGAAAAAAAAAAACTATAGTTCTTAGATGTTAAAGTTGTTTTCTACTGTATTCATTTCAAATAGTAACTATTGTTTGAATATTTCCAATCTCCCTGGAAGTCAGGCCTTGTTAAAGGAGAAAAAGAAAAAAAAAATAATAAAGAAAAGCTGCATATATGATCACTCAATAGAGGGCGGCGTGATTGGAGGATCAGGTCAGGTGGGTGGGCAGTACGACAAGAAACGGGTAATACCAAAAAGGAGCCCTTTCGGTAATGCGCCACGCGGCAGGAAGGCGAGGGGATGAAGGTTGACTTTTTTTGCACTTCTGTACATAGTCGAAAAAGAAAGAAATCGTGTATAATATTGAGATCTTATTTTGAATAAAAATGTCTATAAATATGAGGAATTTTGTTAACGATATTAAAGAAAAAAGAAAAAAGTCAGGCTGAACAAAACTGCTTGCAAGTGACACAGGATAAAAAAAATACACTCGAAAAAGGCGAAAAAACCGTCGCTTTGCTTTTTTTGTCAGCGGCTTGTAGCTTGCCAGGAAAATCTTCGGGTGGAGGCGACCCTTGCCCTCCGAGAGGAAGGTCCTACGGGAAAGGCCGTCTCCGTCACGGACCCCGCAAACGGGTCCGACAACACGAAATACAAGTCTTGTTTCTTTTCCTTCATCCACTGAGGATTGCATGTTAAAGGAAATAACATATACCACAAGAAAACTTCACCGAGTAATACTGAATAAACAAAACATGTTATACAGCAAAACTTATTTACAGTATACATTGTAATATTAATGTAATGGACTAAAAAAAAGTGCAAAAAACAAAAAGTGGGTTTCTTAAAGGTTAAAAAAAATTCGTAAAAGAGTACACTCACTGAGGTCGGAGCTCTCGACGACGACGACAACAACATCTACAAGTGTACGTCATAGCTATAAGTAAGTTTTTTCTTTTCATATGTTGTATTTTAAGTAGATGATGGATCAACAACCAAATTCTTTGGCGCTCAGAAACACGGATACCTGCTGTATCACGTTCCGAGTCGCCAAACGGATTCTGTGTTACCAAAGTTGATTGTGCTTACGCATTTCTTGCTCGTTTTTTGCGACTCGTCGCCGACGGCCACAGAGGGGAGGAGTCCTTCTTTTTCATCGGCTACAGATGCACATTTGAGTTTATAACACATTGTAATCTCCTTATGGTTTGTTTCTGCTTGTAGTGATAAATAATGTATTCTGTCCTACGCTGCAATTTGTTTCAGCTAATTTTATTATTTAGTGCTTTCTGAAGACGAGAGAAAAAATAAAAAAGGTTTTTGTAATTTAGCCACATCTAGTCAGCCTCCACTCTTGATGGCCTGCGCTCGAACTACTGACACAACAGTCTTAAGCCATAGACAGTTTATGGATTCACAAGCATCTAACCTCAACATGGGAAGGTATGGATGAACATCATTAGAGCACGTCTTCTGGCAATTAATCTATAGGTCAATCTCTCAAGACGACGCAGGTACATTATTGGAGCGCGACGCTACATTACAAAGACCTTAAAATGGCTTTTAATGCTTGATTTCATTCTTGCTGTTATGGAAAAAAAAAATCTAATGAAAATATATAAATGAACTTAAATAAAAGTGGATTTGCAAAACAAACTGTCAGTTGTTTGATTATTAAGCTGCAGTTAGGGCCATTGAGCTTATACCATACTATTGACCCTAACTGTGAATATGTAAAACTCCGCCTAGGAACCAATCACAAACCAATTGAAAGAGGGGGTCACAGAGTTTCTGACTGTCACCGGAAGATGGCTCCCTTCAGTCTGTGAGAAGATGAGACCCCTGAGCAGAAAGTGTTTCACGTTCTCCACTTCAATAAGATTGAATCAGTCATAACTGTGCAACATGATTTTCGTTGGTAGTGAACTTCCAACAGCTCAGAGCATTCGTCGTTAGTTCCACAACACTGGATGATCTCCGAAATCGCACTGAAAGAGCCGTGAGTGCAGCGACACCCGACATGCTCAATCGAGTATGGGATGAGTTTGACTATGGCGTTGATGTTGTCTGTACAGCTGGAGGAGGTTCATATTGAGCACTTGTACAATTACATAATAAACTTTATGCTCATTTAAACCATTTACAGTTTACTACATTGTTCTGTAATGATTTACAAGTGCATACAACGAGCCTATAACTCTGCATAGACGTTCTCTCTTTGCAACTCAACCTGTGTGTTGCAAGGTGCCCCCCAAGTGGCCAACAGTTGCAGGCTCACTGTAATGAAAATATGCTTTCACTTAAATAGTGCACCTGCAGACCAGTTTCTGCTCCGCCATGTTAAACAGTATAAACTTTCACTATGACGTGACGCACATGATCAGAACGTACTTAAACTTTCTGATTGGGAATGTAATCAGATACAGGCATTTACACAGATATTATTCTTCTATTTAACAGAATATTTACAGCATTACACACCTCGTTCAATCAGATAGGAATTGTATTCCGAATGGTCTCAATCAGACTAGTCTATTCCAGTCTAATCCAATTGAGCTATTAGTCGGGTTATTAACGGATTATAAGGCTGCATGTTGTTATTAACATTTTTGTGATCTGGAGCCTCATCAGCAACCACACTCCTCGCTTCCCTGTGTGAATGTGCATTGTTATTATTAAGCCATAATTCAAATTCAAATGCAAAACACATATTTGCATTTTTTGTTTCTGTCCTGCGAGCCTCTGCTCGAAACCAGTCATGATGTCACCAACACTGGTGCTTGTGCAGCCATGAGATCTCATAGTCAGCCAAGAATTACTTCCACACAAAACAACAGGAAATCTCTTTTGACAAAATTATCCACAGCCTGGTTGGCCAGTGTCACTAGCAGCTCTAGTAACACCAAAGACTTTTTGTAATTTCCTCTTAAAACACCTTCCACAATTAAAACTCCCTCCCGACGTGGCGTCCACAGCATTTGATTGACAAAAATGCCTCACTGACAGAGTTGCAAACACATTTTAATACTGGCAGAACTGGAGCGTGACCATGGGGAAGTGTAATTGCACATAGACAATTGTTTTTCCACTTTTAATATGTCAGTCACGCCATTAAGACAATGAAATTGAAATGTCAAAAACACTTTGCTTTTCCACATTAACTTTTTTCCAGCCATTATACACAGAAATGCAAACGCAAAGGCACATTTTGCATTTGAATTTAAATGATGGCTTAAAAAATGTACACTTACATGGGAAAAGCATTTGTAAATGCAGAATTTTTGAGAAGAACTGCTTATGATCCAAAGCGTATCACCTCATCTGTCAAGCATGGTGGTGGTAGTTTTATGGTGTGGTCATGAATGGCTACCAGTGAAGCTGGTCACCTTGTACTTATCGATGATGTGACTGCAGCAAGTTGAATTCGGCTTGTATTATTTGCTCAAACGTAGCGGAAAGGTGATGTGTCTGGTGATGTTATTAAAGTAGTGCACCAATCAATAAATGCCAAAGCTTCAATCTAAGAACAGTTTCCGAATGTTAAATGACACTGATAACCAGGAGAAAGGAGCTGGTTAACATTAGCTTAGCTAGCATGATAACAGCTCTGCTCACCACAGCACAGGTTTGACTAGCAAAAAGCTTTACTGATGCAAGTTTAGACAATAATGACTCAAATCTGAGGAAGCGAAGTCAGCTGGTTGGAGGGACATAAAGCTGATATTACACCTGTTCTGTGCTGTTTGGATCTGTAGCCTCCTAGCTAAGCTAATGCTACCCAGCTCCTATCTTCTAGCTAACATAGCTTAAGTAGTGAGCTCCAAACACCCCAGGGCAGGCTTGTTTTGACTAACTGGTGCTCTGTTGTCATAAGCATAAACAGTCTTTAAGCAAAGTCTGTTGAAGTGACAGAAATGGAATCTGTTCTTAGCCCGCTAGGCTAAGCCAAAGCAAGCTTACAATACTTCCCACTGCTGTACAGTCATTTCATATCAGTTCCAGTGAACTGTTGCTTAAAAAACACCCATTTAGAGGACAAAGACTGATTTTCTTCAGTATTTCCTGGTTCAGATGTAACCGGTCTCACACCAGTATGGCCCTGAGAACCATTTGGCTTTACAGTGGAAAAGAGGCCATTGACTGCAAAAGATTTGCAACCAAGTATTAAAAATTACCATTTAAAACATCAATTGAAAGGTTCTTTATGGAAGTCAAAGTGTCTTTTCCATTTTGGCACCTATATTCATAACAGCATATTGCTTTATATGAATTAACTGGGAAATCCAACCATTTAGAGGTCACGCTTAGAGGCAGAGACTCAATTGTACTCTTCTAAGTGGAGAGCACAGTTATTTATACCTCACTAGCTTAGTATGTGGGGTATGTATAGCTTGTATAGACTTAAGGAGGAATTAATGTCTGAGCCAATATCCAATATTGCATGAAGAGGCTAATATCAGCTTGGCCTCTTATCAGACAAATGCTAATGAAAACGTCTGTAAAATGTATACATCTGAGGTATCCAGTGTGCATGAGGGAAGTCCCAAAAGATTAGTTCTATTAGCAGGCCTTTTAGTGCGGCAAACACATATGCTCAAGTTTTTTTTGTTTTTTTTTATGGAACAGGTGCATGGCTGGTCTCCATAGAGGCCTAGCATATCAAACAGGGATTATATTTGAGGGCCACCATATGGACAGGAGAAGATTTCAGAAGGAGGACACAGTCAAGGAACACAGTACATAATCTATTAATTTAATTAGAGTCAACTCTGCACCACAGCAAATCTTAATGCTGACATATAGCTGATGCCAATATACAGTACTGTGGCACAAAGGCACATTTTGCATTTGAATTTGAATTATGGCTTAAAAAATGCACACTAAAATGGGAAATGCAACTGTAAATACAGAATTTTCAAGCTTTTCAAATTTGCATTTGAATATGAAAGAAGTCTAGAGTATGCCGCGATAAAATACAGTATCATAATTGTGTAAAACAGTATGAATACTGTAAATAAACAGTAAGTTGCTGTAGAAAATGCTGCCAGTGTATAATGAAACCATTGAAATGCTTTACAGTGTAGGGATATCTGTGTCAAAGTCAACAATTAAGAGAAGATTTTTACCAGACTTAAAGAGGGTTTATCACAAGATGTAAGCCTCAAAAAACCAACAGACTAGTTTAGAAAAAAAAAATCTAAAAAAGCCCGTACAGCTCTGGAACAACAACTTATGGACAGATGAGGAAGAAAAGAGTATGGAGAAAGGAAGGAACTACTCATGATCCAAAGCATACCACCTCATCTGTCAAGCATGGTGGTGGTAGTGTCATGGCGTGGTCATGTATGGCTGCCAGTGGAGCTGGTCACCTTGTACTCATTGAAAATGTGAATCCAGGAAATTACTATAATTTGATTTAAACATCCTGAACTATTAACCCCTTACAATCCCAGGCGTATTACATACGAAGGCGTATTATTCAGTAACTACAATGACTTCAATGCAAAGTGACTGAGCTATTCTTAGGTTATAGAAGCGTGTAATAAAACTTTGGGCCTGCTGCTGAGCCCTTGGCCATTTAAGGGGTTGATCCTGTCACCAGAAAAATTAACAATTATAATGCAGCATAATAACAGTGTTGCAAAAAGCCTGTTTATTAACTTTATTAGCATTAGTTTTTATATTTTAAAAACTCCTCTACAGTGTAGGACTGTCGGATTGCTGCGTAATGTGAAACAGATCTGTTTCGGTCAAACCAATGCAACTCAAACCAATACAATTCAATACAACAACTACTTTAGTTGCTGTAAAACCTTTTGAGCCAACACACAAACTTCTGTTTAAGACTTTACTTTGTAGACTGATTTCACAGTATTCAAAACTGTATTCCCCTTTAGCAGCTGGCTTTAAGAAAGATTAAGCCTTTATAGTTGGACTGTGTGGGCAGCAGATGAATAGAGAATCAATAACCCATCTGTGGAGGTGCGCTCATTCATCACAGGTTGCAGCTGCTCAGTAAACTGTGTGATTTCTTTATGCTTTGGGATCAAAATAATTAGATTATTTGATTGGACTATTACAACACAAACATGCCGATTTATATATCCAGTAGAAGTAGTATATATTTATTTGGTACAAATGGATCAGACACAGCAGTACTGGAGTTTTTAAACACCTCAGTGTCACTGCTGGACTGAGAAGAGTCCACTGACCAAAAATATCCAGCCAATAGCATCCTGAGGGCAGCGTCCTGTGACCACTGACGAAGGTCTAGAGGATGACCAACACAAACTGTGCAGCAACAGGTGAGCTACTGTCTCTGACTCTACATCTACGAGGCGGACCAACAAGGTAAGCTGCTGTGTCTGATCCACTCATACCAGCGCAACACACACAAACTACTAAGGGGTGTCCACATACATTTGGCTATATAATTTATATTAGTTCCACTGACAACAGGGGTGGATAGTAGAGGTGGAAGGTGAATGAGGGCAGCATCCTCACCATTCTTCAACTGCTGCAGCTGCTCTCTGAGATGCCTCAGAGTGCTGAAGAGATTCTAGAGATATATGGTCATAATGGGTGGAAGAAAAGTAAACGAAAGCTCTTGCTCTTCTGGCTTCTACGTCTTTGGCAAGGCCATTATTTTTTTCTCTAG